GTGTATGTGCGCGGTCTGGTTGTGTTAGGGTAATATGCTAGTGTGTGTGTGTTCATGTGTGCAGGTGTATGTGCGTGGTCTGGTTGTGTTAGGGTAATATGCTAGTGTGTGTGTGTTCATGTGTGCAGGTGTATGTGCGCGGTCTGGTTGTGTTAGGGTAATATGCTATTGTGTGTGTGTTCATGTGTGCATGTGTATGTGCGCGGTCTGGTTGTGAACTTGTAGTCTAGGTGCTGTCCCTGTGCTTTTTCACTCAAGGCTTAATAACTACTGCCTGAGCACAGCTCCTCTTCCAGATTTTTGATGGTTAAGTTATAATAAGAGTCTCAGAGGCTTCAAACGGTGAGCCCCAGATCTCAGCCTGTTGAGTAGGTATGATTACAGGTGTGAACCATTAGCACTCACCATTAGCACTCGGCTATTTTTCCTAACTGAGTTTTGTGGGGTTTTCTGTCTTCTTTTGGGAGGGTACTGGGGACCGAACCCAGGATGCTAACATTTGCTAGGCAAGCACTTATCCACCAAACTACATCCCACCCTGCATAGTTTTTCAGAATTATTGAACACTTCCCTAATGCCCAGCTCGGAATAAAATGATACCCTACCTTGACAATGTTCAATGGAAAAGGGGTCTGTAGGCATGGATCAAGTGGTAGATTGCCTGCCCAGCAGTTCCAAGTCCCTGAGTTCAACCTCCCTGTAGCATACCAAAAAAGAAAGTAGTGTGTTTGAGTGGAATTCATTTACAAGCATTAGCTTGGAAGTAGCTTCATATTCATATTCATTTGTCAGCTGTTTTTTTATTCAGTGATTTTTTTTTTCCCCCGCTCATCTTCCTTTAGAAGATGTGCCAGAAAGCTGGGCGTTGGTGGCTCATGCCTGTAATCCTAACTACTCAGGAGGCTAAGATCTGAGGATCACAGTTCAAAGCCAGCCCTGGCAGGAAAGACCATGAGATTCTTATCTCCAATAAACCACTAGAAAACCAAAAGTGGTGCTGAAGCTCAAGTGGTAGAGCGCTTACCTTGAGCTGAAGAGCTCAAACTATCTTCAGGATCGTTTGAAGCCAGGCACTGGTGGCTCATGCCTGGCTCATCCTAACTACCTAGGAGGCTTGAGATCTGAGTATTTTGTTAGAAGTCAGGGCAGGAAAGTCCATGAGACTTTTGCCTCCTATTAACTACCTAAAAAGCTGGAAGCGGAGCTATGGCTCAAGTGGTAGGGTGCTAGCCTTGAGCACAAAAGCTTAGGGACAGTGCCCAGTCCCTGAGTTCAAGCCTCAAGACCAGCAAACACACACAAAAGAATAGTTTCAATTCTAAAATGGCAAATGTAATACCATTGAAAACAGAAATTGAGATTCATTCATCCTTCTTTTTGTGGCTCTTAGTATGTTTTTTATTAAAATGGTCACTGTAAGTTTCATAGGTTAAAGTGATATATTCTAAATTATATTGAAATAAGAGCACATTGCAAAAAAGCTAAGTTGTTTTTTTTCTCCCCCTTACGATAGAACAAGGAAGAAGTTTGCGACAAAGCACTATTGCCAAGCGTTCCAATGCAGCATCTTTAAGTAGCACAAAAAAAGCATCTGGGAAGACTATAACTGCTCCCAAAGCAGGGGTGAAACAACCAGAACGGTGTCAGATGAAAGAAGAGGTTGGAGCACCACTAAAGCCCGAGTACCATAAGGAGAGTAAAAGGAGCACCCGATACATTAATCCAGTGGAGGTGGCACCAGAAGTATCATTGTCTTCGAGTCAATCTTCATTGTCATCTTGCCTTGAAATGAAGGATGAAGTTGGATTAGATTCCAAACATAAGTGTGATAATCAGGGAGAAGCAAATGTGCCATCTCATGAATTAAATTGTCCTCTTCTTTCAGAGACTTGTGTTAATATTGAAGAAAAGAAAACTGAAGCTCTGATGGAATGTAAAATTGAGACTGTTAGTGGCCCATTGTTTAAGTTTTCAGATAAAGAAGATGATGAACAGAATGTTTCAGGTAAAATGGGTGAGACTATTGAAGAAGAGAAGGCAAAGGAAAAACTTAAACAAAAATCAAAGGAGATAGTAAAATTATCCTGTACAGATGACCAAATTATTGAAGAACCTGAATCTTCTGACATTTCTGGTGATGCTGCTTGTACAGATTTAAATAAGACAGAAACAAAAGCCTTAGGTTTGTCTAGTTCCTTGGATGAAGCACCTGAGGATCATTTGGAATTGAAGAATACTGTGAGTGGTGGTGATAAAACTGAAAAGTTCCTTCAAAGAAATAAAACTGAATCAATGGATTATTGTGAAGACATGGAGTCTCATGATACACAGTTACAGAGCACTGAGTTTAATAAATCAGATTTAGAAGTCAATACCTGTGTTTTTGAGCCAGTAACCAATGTTTTAAAAAATAGTATTTGTGATATGGCAGATCAAAATCCAAAACAGTTAAATATAACAGAAAATACTAAAATAGAATCACATGAAACCACAAACCTTCAGGATGATAGAAGCATCTTAGAGCCAAAAAAATTAAAATCTAAACATATGAAACCTGTAACTCATCCTAAGCAAAACACAACTACAGAGACTCCACGAAAAATAGTGTCAGCAAAACATGAAGTTTTTAACAAAACAAAAAATGTTAAAAATGGGAAACGAAATGCAGATGAAGTAGAATCTCAGCAGAGGCCTGTCAAAGTAAGGAAAAAGCAAGTTGATAAGGATTCAAAGACTCAAAGTTCCAACTCTGGAGTTAAATCAGCAAAAAATCAAACACATTCTATGTGGAAAAATATTGCACAGGATCAAAACTTAGTGCAAATTCCCAAACCTTTAACTCATTCTGTTAGTGATAAGCTTCATAGTCAACCTAGTTGTTCTAAGGAGCCTCATCATCAAGTACATTCCGGACACTTGGTACATTCCAGCCAGAAACAGTGCCATAAGCCTCAGCAACAGGCACCATCAGGGAGAATCACTAGTCATATGAAAGAGGAGCATGAACATGCAGTCCTTGAGCATTTTAAGGAGGAGGATAAACTGAAACTAAAAAAAACTGACAAGAACTTACAACCTCGTCAGAGAAGAAGCAGCAGAAGTTTTTCTTTGGATGAGCCACCATTATTCATTCCAGACAACATAGCCACTGTAAAAAGAGAAGGTTCAGACCATAACTCCTCATTTGAAAGCAAATACATGTGGACTCCCAGCAAGCAATGTGGGTTTTGCAAAAAACCACATGGCAACAGGTGTGTGTGTGTGTGTGTGTGTGAGTGTGTGTGAGTGAGTGTGAGTGAGTGATATGTACATTGAAGGGAAAATTTGGGGTTGGGGGGGAAGCAGATTGAGTTTAGTGTGAGAACTTTTTTAGAGCTATACAAAGACTTTTCCAAAACCCTACATTAGTCCTGGATAAATAATAGAAAGATGGAGCCACTCAATTTACAATCATATCACCTTAGAACATTTTAAGAACCATAGTATGGTAGCTGATATATGTGGAAATGTTTTGTCATTGTAAACTGTAGTCAATGCATCTGATAAAAAAAAAGACAACAGCCATTTTCTTAATCAGAAAATTGTTATGCTACTCTGAGACTGTAAATCTTACATGATTTTATTTGGTTGGAGAAAACTAGCAATAAAGTATAAAGGTCATAATGGAAAATCAGTTTTTCTTTTGAAGGTATTTTTTTTTTAATGGTGCACATTAACAGCCTAATACTGTCATCTCAAAACCATCAAACTTTTGGAATGAAATTTGATATTGATAGCTAAAGCAACTGTTAAGATTATGTAGGTAAATTTTGTGTATTACATGGAATAGAGTGAAGGCATGTATTCTGGAATGTTTTAGTGATTTTGAGAATTTCCTCTGAGTTGTAATCATTGAGAGTTTTAGAGTTTGATTTTAGCACTGGTTTTCCCCTTTTTGGGGTTTCTATCTTTTGGACATTACAATGGTGCCTCCCTGCTTTCAATGTACTTTTTATTTGCTAGCTTTTTAAAGAAAAGTAAAAGAAGACCTGACGTGGAGCTTACAGCCCAAGATTTTCCTGATCAAGTGTCACATTGCTGTTAGAACTTCTATCAACACTGATATGATAAAAAAATTATAACCTGTATATTCTAGCATTATTATACTTCTTCTTTAGTACATGTTAGAGTGACATTTCCCTGTGCTATGACGCCACATAAAGATGCAACTACAGTTAGACAAGATAGGTTTTAATAAGTTATTTTGGTAGGAGGAGTGGTTGGAGAGGAACTGGTTGGGCAGTGGGAGGACAGTGTTAGGTTTTTCTCTTAGGTTTTATGTCACAGGGACTTGTTTACTGAATTTTGGACAGTCTTGGTAGAGCTGAGGCTGGCTTGGAACTATATAATGCATCCTGGCCTTGAACTTGGAATCCTTAGCCTCCCAGGTGCTAGGATTTCAGGAACAGACATGTACCACCTCGCAGAGTTGGCTGCTTTCATGATTCAGCCAAAATATATTTTTGGTGTCTGGAGTTAGTTTGTTACACAGTATGATCTAATTTTTAAATTTTTTGACTTACTTGATACAGTGCTATATTTGACCCACTTATGTTCTTCATTTCAAATATCTTAAGTATGTGAAAGGGAGCATACTTTTTTTCAGATTTAAGATAACTTAAGAGTTCAATGGTGCTCTTAACTGCTCTTTTCATCTCTGCTACAACCATAAAAATCATTGCACTGATACATGTTCAGAAAAATGGAATAGGAAGACCTGAAGTATAGAGTTAGAGGGCATATTAAGTCATGTACCTTTTTATACATGACCTTTTTTGAAATGCCCAGTCTTCAGGACCTATGCTCAGGCATTTTTTAATAATTGTTACATCATCAACAGTTTCTGTAAAATGCATATCAGGTGTTCCTTCATTTTGTTTTTAACATAATGCCAGTTTTTAGATCTACTGAGTAAAATCTAGAGTTTCAGTCTAGTGAATCATTTAAAATGTTAACCTATAGGAATTTTGGGTTCATCCTGTGTAATTAACCTGGAGAGAATGTACAATAACACTGGAAACAGTTATGGGAGCAGCTTTCCTGATTACTGAAGTAATCTTTCAGATCTGTGAATAAAGAAGCCTAAGTAATTGATTGCTTTTTCTTTACATATTAACTATCCTCCACTGCTGCTTTTGTTCTGTTTTGCTTGCATACATTGAATTTACTCAGAAAAATTACCTTTCACACAGGGTTTAATTTTCTAATTTTAATCCACACATGAAAATACAAATTTCTTATGAAAACATTTTCTGATCCTTGTGATGCCAATACTGTGAATTCTTCAGCATTTTGCATATATTACAACTGGAGTTAGCTTTCTTGTGTATGCATCCAGTTGGAGATTCATGGCACGGCCAGGTGAGGTAGTTGACATGAAGCAGTTCTGTACATATTCTAAGGATAGTGGTTCCTACCCCTGCTTTTTTTTGTTGAATGAGGAGTTTCATTTTGACAAATGTACATATATGCATACAAAACCTTGATCAGACTCACCCTTTTTTTTTGCTTCTGTTTATTTTTCTTATCCAGACTTATGCCATATATATTATTTTTTAAAGGCTACTTAATCCTTTTTTTCTTTTTTAAATGTGAATTCTTTTCAACAGAAGTTAATGAATTTTTTGAAATGAAGTTTGTGTCTTTTATTATTACCTGGTAGTTTCTGGTTCCTCTTTTGAAAGATGCTTTTTTTATTACTCTCTCTTGCTCCAGTTGTATATTTTGTGTATTTGATGAAAAAGATCAAAACAGTTAGCAAAATCGGCTGGGTGCCTGGTGGCTCATGCCTGAAATCTAGCTACTCAGCAGACTGAGATCTGAGATCATGGTTTGAAGCCATCCTGGGCAGGAAAGTCTGTGAGACTCTTAACCTCCAATTAACCACCAAAAGCCAGAAGCGGAGCTGTGACTCAAGTGATAGAAGGGCTGATCTTAAGAAAAAAAAAGGCTCAGGAAGATTTTGAGGACCAGGAGCCCCCCTCCTTCTCCCCCTCCAAAAAAGGTAGAAAAACTTTCTGAGGGGTGAATTCCTTTCTAAAAGCAGTGATCCTGATTTTTGTCAAGCTTTTCACAATATGACATAATATTTATGTGGAAAATAACCTTTTTACCTTAGGAATGTGTGTGTGTGTATATATATGTATACACTACAGTGTAGATTGTCACTCAAAGGAAATATTTATCAAAACTGAATACCTGTCTTGTAATGCCTACCATGGTGAATTTGTACCATGAACTTTTTAAGAGCAGGAGTTCTCAGTGTTGTCTCCAGTTTATGTTGAAGAAACCTGGATTTTATTTTTTGGCAATACTAGGGTTTGAACTCTACGCTTCCCACTTGCTAGAGTTCTACCACTTGGGTTAGGCTTTCAGTCCTGCCTTTTCTGATTATGAATTTTTTCCTGCCCATGCTAGGCACATTTCAGCCTCTTGGGTACTTGGGTCACAATCATCAGAAACCAGCCTGGCTGAAACAGGAGGTTTTCTCAGAACTTTGGCTCATAGGCCAGAAAGATAATTTTAATTTGTTTTTAATTATTTTACAAGACACTTGAAACATTGAGTTTTGTTTTTACTCCATATATGCACATGTAACAGTAGAAGACAATGTTAAATATTGTAATGTGATTCATACTGACTGACTTGGTCAGATGATTGAATTAAGACCTAAACATAGTTTCTGTTTCTGTTTTTAAACCTAAAGAGTAAACATCTAGGCTGTGTTCCTGGGCAGTGCACAAAATGGGAACATGATTGATAGGTACTTCTGCTGCTGCTGCTGCTGCTGCTGCTGCTGCTTTTCCTTTACCATGCTGTCCCATCTCTGAAGTTTTTCAAGCAAAGCAGTAGCCCAGGAAAGGAGCAAAATAAATTCATTTATATTCTACACAACACACACAATGCTTCCCTCCCCCTCTTTGTACCAGGATTTGAGCTCAGGACCTCATGTGCTTGCTTGACTCTAGTTTGCAGATGACTCTTTGCCACTTTAGCCGCACCTTTTAAGATGGAGTCTTGCAGGCTGACTGAACTCCAGAGGTCATCCTGAACAGCTATGGTTATAAGTGTGAGCCATCAGTGCTCTGTTCTATTATCGTGGGAAGCCACCTTTTAAGAAGTTAGCTTAAGTTCATGGTACTTCCAAATTTCAGACTTTAGTGTTTCCATAGTAAAGTTGATTTTATTTTTCCTGAGAATGAGATCAATTTTTCTAATTTTTTGAAAGCATTATTTAACTGATTTTAAATAAAAAACAGGGAAACATTTATGGATAGCATTGGAGATATGCTTTTAGAGCCTCAAGTTTGGAACATTTCTAAAATAAGCTGGACAAAGACTAGTCTTAAGTTTTTAAAGTGATGTTTTACTGAAACTATTCCAGACTTGCTTTGAAGAAATGTTAATGTAGCTATGTGGAAGTAATGGCAGTTGGCCACTTCCTTTCCTCCAGTACTGTATAGCCATTTATATTAGATAGTTCAAGGACTACTAATTCCTTTACATTTGCAACCAGAAATAGAATATCATTAAAGCACTTGTATTCTTCAAACCTGTTCTGTAACCCTTGTTGCCTGGCCTATCTGGTTCATTCAATGTGATATCATTAATCTCAACCCTAGTGGTTAGGAGTGCTATTTGAAAACAGATAGTTTGAAACTTTTCTTATTAGACTTAAGATTCCAAAATATTGTATATTTTAGTTTTCCAAATCAACTTGTATTGGTGGGTAGATGTGGAGTAACTTGGTGGGAGAACTAGCAGTGGAGTTACTGTTGAGGTTAAATAATAGCTATGTGACATGCAGTTAAGTCCATAGTACAGTGGCTATTTGGTACATGATCGAGTGGTACATGAGGAGATGTGAAAGTAGTGTTATTGAGAAATGAGGTATGTGCCATGACTTGAAAGCACCTGCTGAAGTTAGTATACAGTTAGTATACGGTTGAACATTTGGATAGTTCCCGTATTAAAACAGGATCGCTGATATTTAGAGATGAATGTCCCACCTAGTACATCATTATCATTCCTCTTCCAGTTCCATTGAAAGTTATTAAAGGACCCGGTTTGAGATGTTGCTGTTAACAAACTCAGTGCCAGAGCCCTTTAATGAGAAAAGAACTTCCTAAATCTTTCAAACATTAGGAACCACTAGCTTGAGGCAAGAAAATGTTAAACAATATTTGAACTGAACTTGGTAGCTTTCTTAATGGGTTGAAAACCGTGTAAGAGAATGTTTCCCTACGTTACTGTTTTATATCTGATTTGCTGTTTTATTCAAAATTATAAATATCCTTTTACATTAGGAAAATGGAAGGTTTTTAGATAGATTCATCTAGTGAGAACTCTCACGTTCTTGGTTATTAGCTAAAATACTGTAAACAGTTGAAACTTTAAATACCTTAATGTTAAAATCATATTATAGTCTTTAGGAAAAGAAGTTTAATGTCTGAAATAGGAGCAGTAACAAAATCCTTCATGCCAAAATGTGTATTAAAATTATTTCTGAACAAATATGAAACCATGAGCTGGAGCACTTTGAGCTTAGGTTATGCAAAGTGGTTAAGAAACAGTTTGAGAGACTGTTTTTAATTTGTTGAATAAGCAATTCAGATCTTTGGTAGTGCAGCTGTACTTGGGTGGATTGTGATCAAATTCTCATAGTTCTCACCCCTTTTCAGTGTAGAGGTTCACTGTTAGTCTGTGCATTATTCTGTAATGACAGATCAGTTTTCTTCCCCACGGTGTTTTGTGGTGTTCCCCAGTATTTTCCTATTTGTATTTTTTGCTTTGAAAACTTGGTCCATGCTGAACATCAAAATAGCAGGAAATGAAATATAGATCATTTAACTTAGTCTCATTTTTTTACACTAAAATATTTACATATAAATCACCCTTTTGTTCCCCCTCCAGGTTTATGGTTGGCTGTGGGAGATGTGATGACTGGTTTCATGGTGATTGTGTTGGGTTAAGTCTTTATCAAGCACAGCAAATGGGAGAGGAGGACAAAGAATATGTATGTGTGAAATGTTGTGCTGAAGAAGACAAAAAGACTGAAGTATTAGACTCTGACAGTTTAGAAAACCAAACTACAACTGAAGTCCATAGTGAAGATAAAACAATGGAATATGAAAAGCTTGACAAAACCAAACATACAGATGATACAGTGAAGAACAAGGTCAAAATTGTAAAGCGGGTAAGCTTTTCATGAGCATGGTTTTTTTGTTAAGCTGTTTGACCTATCATGAGTGGAGAAGTTTTCCTTTTAGGTTTCAGTGTTCCAGTATACATTTTCATTTTCTCATAGGAATGAATTAATTTAGTTTTGGAGGTGCAATTTTGGTGAAACCAGACAATATCTTTAGAACATGCAGCCCTTATTCCAGTTTTTAGTGCTATTTCTTGGATGTAGTTTGATACTGGGGATTTCATATGGTAGAAAATACTTGTACTGTTTTGTGGTCCTGAGTGTAAATTGTGCATACTAAGTTTTAGAACAGCTTTCATTCTTTAAATTTCTACTGATTATTTCTCACTTGTTTCAGTTTGCAAGAATTCTTTTCTTTCTGTAAAGTAAAATAACCTTAGTTTTTAAAACTTTGTTTCCTTATTTTTAATTCTTACTTTATTTTTTTAAACTCAATGTAGATTCATAGAATGCTATTTTCCTAGGTCTTATATTTTAACTGTCTTCTAAAAGTCTTCCTAATTATACTTCAAGATACTTAGTCTTTCAGAGGTGAAATATGTCTGTTTTGTCAGGTTCTTTTTCTTTGTCTCAGTCAGGGTCTTACTATGTAGTCCATCCAGGCAGGCCTTGAGCTCAGATAGCTTGACTGGCCTCTCTAACTGGTCATCTTCCTGCAGTAGTAGCCTACCCGGTGGTGAGATTGCATATTCACCAGCTCTGTGTTCCATGTTCTGACTAAACTTAAGTATTTTTATTACCTGTAGTTTATGCGGTCAGTGATTTATTATTGAATACTGCTGATGAAGAAACACAGTTGCAATAACTTTGTAAATTAGGCAAGTATAGCTGGGCACTGGTGGCTCACGCCTGTAGTACTAGCTACTCTGGAGGCTGAGAACTGAGGTTCATGGTTTGAAGCCAGCCCAGGCAAGAAAGTCCACAATGAGACTCCAAGTCCAATAAGCTACTAAAACAAAAACAAAGCTGGAAGTGGAGCCGTGGCTCAAGATGCAGAGCATTAGCTTTGTGTAAAAAAATAAAAAGCTCAGAGACAGTGCACAGCTCCTGAATTCAAGGCCTAGGACAGGCACACAAAGTAGGCAAGTATCCAGAAGACCAAAATAATTTTAGAAGCTGGAAGGTTTTAGTCCAATCATTTTCATTTGTATGCTGTACAGTATCTCTAGGAGGTAAAGATCTAGTTTCTATTCTAAAAACCTTGGAATACTGCCTCTTTTTCATTCTGTCTGTGTGTGTGCAAGCATATGTGTGTGCATGCACTGGTACTAATTCCTGCACTCAGGACCTTACAAATTTAACTTTTTTATCAGGGCTGGCATTCTGCTTCTTGAGCCATACCTCCACTTAGCTCAGACCATTAGAGTTCTTCAATTTGAGCTTATTTTTGTTTATGAAAATTAGTTTCTTGAAGCCTTTCTGTTAAAAATAATTTTTCTATAGCATGATATATAACTCATATTAAGCAGCTTGTTCATGCTATCTGTAGTCTCCCCCATGATAGACAAACTCTGTTATTTCAGGTAGCTGTGTGTGCTGAATCTAAATTTACAGTTTGTCAAGTTATTGTGAAGTTAAATGGAGTCCATTTTACTTTGTCAAATGTCAATTCATATCCCTAGGTGTTGAGTGCTTTATTGAGTTTATTTTGTGTTGTGAGCATTAGTATTTGGCTATCTTCTCAAGGAACTTTAGTTTGAGAGGTACAACATGAAAAGCTAGATACTAATACCTGTTGAAGAGAAAATCATTCATATGTGAATACACTTTATCCTAAGACTTGTATTTTTATACGTTTATTTTAAAATCACATTACTATAATGTGATTGATTTCTGTTAAGGACCTCAGAATTCCAGCTTAGCCGGTAATTCTTTGTGTGTTACAATTAGAACCAGGGTAGAAAGTGCACTGATGGTTTATCCTGCCTTTGGGAATTAAGATTGCCATTAGACAAATTTTGTAGATGATTTGCTTTAGAAATACAGTGAAAAACACAGATGCTCATTTCTCCATAATTCCTTCTTTTTCTATATCTGCGGCCAACTGAGAACTTTTATTTCCTTATTCTAATTTTCTTTCTACTGTTACCAATGAGATGATCTTTATGTTTTTTTGTTTGTTTTTGTCAGTCTTGGGGTTTGAACTGTGGGCCTGGGCACTGTCCCTGAGCTCTTCTCAGAGCTAGTGCTCCACCTCTTTGCGCCACAATAGTTTTTTGGTGTTTAATTGGAGATAAGAGTCTCTTGTACTTTCCTGCCCAGTCTGGCTTTGAACCAAAATCCTCAGATCTCAGCCTTCTGAGTAGATAGGATGACAGGCACGAGCCGCTGACACCCAGATGCTCTGTTCCCCTCCTTCAGTCTTTATAGGCTACTGTATGCTCTGGACAAAGTAGACAATGGGTTTTGGATGAAAGAGAATATCTTTAGTAATGGACATAATTTTGTAAATCTTTAAAAAATAGTTAAGTATAAGCCGGGCACTCGTGGTCTGTCATCCTAGCTACTCAGGAGGCTGAGATCTGAGGCTCACTGTTCAAAGCCAGCTTGGGTAGAAAAATCCATGAGACCCTTATATCCAATAAATAGTGTTCTTATGTCCAATAAGTCTCCAATAAATACTCAGAAAAAGCTTGAAGTGGCACTGTGGCTCAATTGGTAGAGCACTAGTATTGAGCACAAAGAGACTCAGGCTGTGCCCAGGCCCTAGGACTGGTAATAAAAAAAAAGTTAGGTGTGCTGGAGTTTGAACTCAGGGCCTCATAACTGCTATATGAGCTCTCTACCATTTGAGGCATGCCCCTAGATCTTTTCTCTTTTATTTTGCACCTTTGCCAGTGCCAATCTCCTGCCACTGCCTTCTGAGTTGGTAGGATTTTACTGTTATGTACCAGCATACCTGGCTTGTTTGTTGGGGTCAGTTCTTGTTTATTGGACTAGCCTCAAACCATGATCAGTCATATATAAATGTTTTAAAGGCTGAAAAACAAATTTGATTTCTAAATAGGTTGTAATAATAATTGCATTTAATTTTTCTCCTCTTCATAATTGTTGAGGTTTGCTTATATAGTAGCTTCCAATTTAATAAAATAAGTATTACATTTTTTAGGAGTCTAGTGAAGGCAAAAACTCATCAGACTGTAGAGACAATGAAATTAAAAAATGGCAACTAGCTCCTCTTCGAAAGATGGGACAACCAGTTTTACTTCGGAGATCTTCAGAAGACAAGAATGAAAAAATACCAAAGGAGTCAACAACTGTTTTTTGTACTGGAGAAAAACCTTCAAAACCAGGTAGTGAGAAATACAGAAATTATTGTGTACTAATATATTTCTGTTATTTCCTATGCAACTAATATATTTATAGAGATTTTAATTTTTTTCATGGGAGTAAAAAAAAAGAAAAGGTTTTTACTTGTAAAAATTTATTGCTCCAGCCGGGCGCCGGTGTTTCACACCTGTAATCCTAGCTACTCAAGCTGAGATCTGAGGATCACAGTTCAAAGCCAGCCCAGGCAGAAAAGTCTGTGAGACTCTTTATCTCCAAATAACCACTAGAAAACCAGAAGTGGTGCTGTGGCTTAAATAATAGAGCACTTGTCTTGAGCTGAAGAGCTGAGGGATTGCACCCAGGTCCAGAGTTCAAGCCCCATGACCGGAAAAGAAAAAAATATTTCTCCAAATTCTAGAAGGCACTAGTGAACGGAGGCCCTTCCTTTGTGACAGCTATACACTAGTGGGAGAAGGCTAGGCAGACAGCATGTTGACAGCCTCAGATGTAGATAGATACAAATATTACATACATTAAAAATAATATGAATATATACATAATCATACATTCCATGTTTCCTCTGGTTAAGGTAAAGCATGGCGACTTTAGGATATATACATTTGTAAGTTTAAAAAATTCCACTAAAAATACTAAAATTTTAAAAGTTCCACTAAAAAAGGACTTTTTCATACTTGAAAATTACACCTGTTAAAATTGTCAGTGGGAGGGAAGGTACTCCACCCAGTGATGTTGCTTGAGGTGCTCTCTCTATGCATGACCCTAGCTCACTGAAAAACACACAGAGAGAAAATGTTATGCTACTTTAGTGCCTGTGAGGAAGAAGTGTCATCATGGAAAATGGTAAGGAAAGTGTCTGAGAGCTGATGTTTCAGATAAAAAGGATCGAGTGTGCGATTTGAAGGAATGCATTTTTCTGAGAAAGGGACTGGGTGAAGGGCACCACCAATGAAGGCTTCCAGTTAGCATCAGACTTGGCGTCTGAGAAGTAAGAAATTCAGTGTGGAGTGACTAGAAAGTATTATCTTCCACCCAAGGCTCAACCACTTGAACCACACCTTTGCAGTTAATTGGAGATAAGAATGTCTTGCTGCTAGTTAATCAAGTCTCTAGAATTTATCTCTGCCGTTGTCTACCTACACGTGCTTCAAATCCCAACTTAACTCTCAGCTTGAGTAGCTAGGATTATTGTTGTGAGCCACTTGGGTGAATAAAGAAGTATGCAAGGTCTAGGTGCTAGTATTGTGCTATCTAATCCCAAATTGATTACTTTCCCAGTTTTTCCTTCCCATCCCCATCAAATAGTTGTATAGTTCATTTTTAACATAATGTCAACTGAATACCACTGTTGGATTTGTTTTCCTTTTGTCCCTCCATTTCAGTGCCTTCTCTTACCCTCCCAAAGACATACAAACGATCAAAAATTGCCAAAAGAAAATGAAAACAACAAAGAAAAATCGTCTCATTTCCAGTTCCTGGAGTTCATTTTGATACTATTATTTTCTCTGATCAGATGCACATAGGAATTGTCCCTTTCTGTTCCTCTCCTAAGAGTGTCTTCCTGTGATCTCACTGTGTGTGGATGCCTAGAGTCCTATATAATTTATCATGTCTCAGTGTATTTTTGATCTGGCTTCCACATATGAGAGAAGACATGTCTCTCTGAGCTTTGCTTGCCTCACTTAACATGATTTGTTCTAGGGCCATCCATTTCCCTGCAAATGATAGAACATTCTTTATAATGGCTGTGTAAAATTCAATTATGTATTGGAACCACATTTTTGAATCTGAAGGGCATCTGGACTGTTTCCACAACTTGGCTATTGTAGATAAGGCAGCAATGAACATGGATGTAATGTTTCTTTCATTGATGTATGTAATGTTTCTTTTTACTTGTGGACTTATTTTTAAATACTATCAGTTTTAATACAACTTTAATGACAAGAGTATTTTAATATGTAATGTGGCTTCTGACCATATTTCTAAGTAGTGGCTTTTAATAGTCAATTGGTATCTTGGCTCGTGATATTCTGGATAAATATGCAAGAGTTCTGTTTTGCTGGGTCGTAATGAAGATCTGTGGTTAGCTTTTTTGATGAATTTCCAGACTGTTGATAGAGTCATTATACTACTAGTTTACTTTCCCACCAACAGTGCACATCTCTGCCAATATTTGTTGGAATTCATGGTGTTGGCCGGTCTAACGGGGTGAAATGGAATCTCAGAGTTGATTTGCATGTCCCTTATGGCCAGGAATGATGAGCATAACCCCATGTGCTTCTTTGCTATTCTTACCCTTTCTTATGAGAAGTCCCTCCTTTGCCCACTTAGTGATTATTTTATCAGCTTTAGGTTGATTTCTTGAGCTCCTTGTGTTTTGAGACAACAATTGGTTGGATTTTACATTTTGATCCAATCTGTTGCTCTGTCTTTTTGTTGGGAAGTTGAGGCCATTGATGTTTAACTTTATGATGGAGAAATACGTCAGGTTTTCTGCCATTTTGTTGTTTTCCGGTATGTGCGTCTTTCCTCTCTTGAGTTTAGTAGTCTACTGATTTTTGTTCAGTGCTGTGTTTCCTTGCCTTTGTTTTCTTCTGAGTGAATGCTTCCCTTTAGTCTCCTTTGTAGTACTGGTTTAGTGTTAGTGAATTCCTTTAGTTTTTGTTGGTCATGTAAGGTTTTTGTATTGCCATCAGTACAAATATTAGCTTTGCTGGGTACACCACTTTGTTTTGTCAGTTGTTCAGAGCGTGAATTATCCACTCCAGGCTCCCCTTGCATTGAGGATTTGTGTTGAGAGATCTGCAGCAACTCTAATCTTCTTTCCATTGTAATATAGTTCCCTCTTTTATTTTGCTTCATTTAAAAATAATTACGTGTCCCAGGTTTTCACTATAATTTATGTTTCTTTTTGGATTCAGTCTGCTAAGAGTTCTGTAGGCCTGTCAGGTGGGTGAGATTCTCTCTTGAGATGCAGTTTTCTGTTGCTATTTTGTTAAATAGGGTTTCAGTGCCTTTGGTTTTGAATTCTTCTCCCTCATCGCTCCCGATTATGTGTAAATTTGATCTTTTGGCGGAATCTGGCCACTCTTGAATATCCCTTTGCTAATGTTCTGTTTTTTCCATGCCCTTGAATTTTTGTTCTAATTCCTCTGCTTTATCCTCAACTCCTGATACCCTGTTTTCTACCTCACTTGTTCTATTGCTGATGCTTTTAACTGCTTTGCAATGGGGAAATAGAGCCTTTCATGTCTCCTACCTCTTTATTAATGTCATTTCTCAGGGTATTAATTTCATCTTCCATTTCTTCATTGAGATATGTAATGCTTCTTTCATTGATGTATGTATGTATGTTTCTTTTTACTTGTGGACTTATTTTTAAATACTATCAGTTTTAATTACAACTTTAATGACAAGAGTATTTTAATATGTAATGTGGCTTCTGACCATATTTCTAAGTAGTGGCTTTTAATAGTCAATTTTGGTTATAAACTTACATAATTCATTATAAGGAAAAATATCTTTAAAAAAATTAATGCGTTTTCATACCTGCTTAAATTAGGCACTCAGGAGAAGCAAGAGATAAAGAAGAAGAAAGTTGAAAAGGGCGTCTCTAGTGTGCACCCTCCTACTGCTTCCGTCTCCAAGCCATCTGCAGATCAAATCAGACAAAGCGTGAGACATTCTCTCAAAGACATTCTTATGAAAAGGTGAAAAACCAAGAGTGAACGTATTATTACTGAAGACTGAGTATGTTCTTCAGTTTATGAAAAATAATTAAATTGTTTTTACTTTAAGGCTTACAGATTCAAATTTGAAGGTACCTGAGGAAAAGGCAACGAAAGTTGCTACAAAAATTGAAAAAGAGCTTTTCTCTTTTTTTCGGGACACAGATGCTAAATATAAAAATAAATATAGAAGTTTGATGTTCAATCTGAAAGATCCTAAAAACAATGTAAGTATATTTTGTTTGTTTCTATGCATTTTCATGCTTCCAACTTTCCTGAATACATAGAAATCTTAAGATTGTAATACAAAAGATCTCCAATTTAGTAATTTAGATTGTGATTATAGAATCACTTAGAATATACAACTCTCCATGTCCCAAGACCTTAGGCTGTTCAAAACATGTGTTCTACCTGTGAACTCCTTCCCTTGCCCAGAATTTTTTTTTTTTTTTTTTTGCTGGTTCTAGGACTTGAACTCAGGTCCTAGGTGCGGTCCCTGAATCACCTTCTTTGTGCTCAAGACTTGTGCTGTATCACTTGAACCATAGTGCCACTTCCAGCTTTTTCTGAGCTATTTATTGGAGAGAAGAGTCTCACTAACTATTCTGCCTGGGCTGGCTTCGAGTCGTGATCCTCAGACCTCAGCCTCCTGAGTAGCTATGGTTACAGGTGTGAGCCACCAGTGCCTGGCTTCGGAATATGTAATTTTTAATAACATTTTAATAACATCTTGATTTATGAATTCCATAAATAGTGTTCTGTAAGTTTGCTGAACAGCTTCATGTCTTTAGCAGGTGTATTTTGATTTAAAATCAAACAATAGAGTTTCACAGTTTACATTTATAAGGCTTGAGGGCTGGGAAGGTGGCTCAGTGGTAGAGTGCTTGCCTTGCATGCATGAGGCCCTAGGTTCGATTCCTCAGCACCACATAAGCAGAAAAAGCTGGAAGTGGTACTGTGGCTCACGTGGTAGAATTGATAGCCTTGAGCTGAAGGGACAGTACCCAGGCCCAGAGGTTCAGGCCCCACGACTGGCAAAAAAAAAAAAAAAAAGGCTTTAACTCAGGACCTTGCTGCTGTCCCTGAAATTATTTGTTCAACCACTTGGGCCATTGCTATACTTGTAGGTTTTGGGTAAGTAATTGAAGATAAGAGTCTCATGGACTTTTCCTGCCCATGTTGGCTTCAAAACCTGAGTGAGGCTTATGCTTACAGTCCTAACTACCATGGAGGCTAAGATCTGAAGATTGAAATTTGAAGTCAGCGTGGGCAAGAAAGCCTATGAGACTCTTATTTCCAATTAACTACCAAAAAGCCAGAAGTGGAGCTGTGGCCCAAGTGGTAGAGTGCCATCCTTGAACAAAGAAGCAAGTTCAGGGACTACATGGAGACCCTGAAGTCAAGCCTCACAACTGACCCCAAAAGACCTGGAAGCCGGGCATCGTAGTACATGCCTGAAATCCCACCTGCTTGGGACCCTGAGGCAAGAGGATTGCTTAGATAAGCCCGGGGTTCACAGCCTTGTCCACAGAGATTCAGTCTCAGGTTATGAAAATGTGCGACACATTTTATTAAGTATCATTTTAGCTCTAAGTATCTTTTAACAGTGGAGTACATATTAGTTTAGTTCCTCATTTTAGGATTTGTTGTATGTAATTTGGATGAAATCTAAAAGCCAGATGTGTGTATGTACTTGTGAGTATGTTGAAGGAGACCTTTGATGAGTTAAACAAATAAAAAAATGAGGTCAGTATGCCGGGCACTGGTGGCTCACACCTGTAATCCTAGCTACTCAGGAGGCTGAGATCTGAGGATCAAAGTTCAAAGCCAGCCCAGGCAGGAAAGTCCATTAAACTCTTAGCTCAAATAAACCATCAGAAAACCGGAAGTGGTGGAGCGCTCACCTTGAGCTGAAATTCTGAGGGACAGCGCTCAGGCCCAGAGTTCAAGCCCCACAACCTACAAAAAAAAAAATGAGGTCAGTGAATTTAAAAGGTTCCAAAAATGATTGATCACTTTTGTATTTACCTTTGAGTTCAGCAGGATGTTTTTTGTACAGATGACTCTAAGTAACAGTATAATTAATTTCAACCCTCTTGGAGAGAAAAGTTTTCACATAAAACTTTCAGTTTTCACATAAGTGATGTAAATTGGTATAAGAGCAATTACTCGGGGCTGGGAAGGTGGCTCAGTGGTAGAGCACTTGCCTTGCATGCCTGAGGCCCTGGGTTCTATTCCTCAGCACCACATAAGCAAACAGAAAAAAGCCTGAAGTGGTGCTGTGGCTCAAGTGGTAGAGCGCTAGCCTTGAGCTGAAGAGCTGAGGAACAGCGCCCAGGCCCAGAGTTCAGAGTTCAGGCCCCATGACTGGACCTCCCCCCCCAAAAAAAAAAAAAAAAAGAAAGAAAAGATCTGTATCTAACATAATGTATTTTCAGATTTTACATGTTTCAATACTAAGAAGCTTGAATGGGACTCAAAGAATCAATTTCAAGAAAAAAAGCAATCTAAAGGAAATAAATCTTAATCACTACAGAAAAGCTCCAACAAGTATCTGACCCATAAAGGCATACTATGCAATGTCAATTTTTCTTGTGTAGCTATCAGTATACTTCAAAAAAATATCCCATAAGATAAGTTGCTAAGTATCTACAGAGTACCCCTTTAAGGATCCTTCCCTCCCCATATACCAAGGAATCGAACCCAGGGCCTCAGGCATGCAAGGCACGCGCTCTACCACTGAGCCATCTTCCCAGCCACCCCCCCCCCCCCATACAGATCTTTTCTATAGCACATTCCTATAATGTATTGGTTATTATGACAGAATATATGCAATTTTGGATTGGTGTATAATGGTTTCATTGTATGTGTTCCCAGACAGAATAAGTCCCTGTGTAATCTTACTTCAACTTCAGAATTTTGCTCCATTGTGTTGATTTTTGTGTAAAATGTATATTTTGTGGCCTTAGGAAACAAAGTTGCTATTTAATAGTAGTGTATTCAGCAGTTCCCTCTCCCCACCTTTTTTAAAGTACTTGTCTCTTTCTTGTTTTAAAATCTTTTTAGATACTATTTAAAAAAGTACTGAAAGGAGAAGTAACTCCTGATCATCTTATTCGAATGAGTCCAGAAGAACTTGCCTCTAAAGAGTTAGCTGCTTGGAGAAGAAGAGAAAACAGACATGTAAGAATATGTATGAATGGGTATTTCACTACCAAAACTTATATTTTTTAGTCATACAAGAAAAATCATGTAGGAGAAAAATCGATACAGAGTGTATGCCAGGCACTTGTAGTTCACACCTATAATCCTAATTACTCGGGAGCTGAGTTCTGAGGATCAAGATTCAAAGCCAGCCCACGCAGGAAAGTCTGTGAAATTCTTATCTTCAGTTAAAAACCACTGGAAAACTGTCAATGCCACTGTTGCTCAACAGTAGAGTGCTAACCTTGAGCAAAAAAGCTCCGGGACAGCGCCCAGGTCCTGAGTTCATGCCCCATGATTGACAAAAAACAAATACAGAATGCACAATAAAATAGACTCTTCTGTTCTTCTGATTAATTCCATCCCTCTTCTTTTTCTTCCCTTCCCCTTTTTCCTTCCCATCCTCTTCCTCTGTTTTGTTGACCAACCTTGACTGGACTGGACTGATGTGACACTCCTACTTCAGCTTTGTTTGTTTGTTTTTTGTCGGTTATTGGGCCTGAACTCTGGGCCTGGGCGCTGTCCCTCAGCTCTTCAGCTCAAGGCGAGCGCTCTACCACTTGAGCCACAGTGCCACTTCTGGCTTTTTCTGCTTATGTGGTGCTGAAAAATCGAACCCAGGGCCTCATGCATGCGAGGCAAGCACTCTACCACTGAGCCACCTTCCCAGCCCTTCTGTTTTTTAAATAATACTGTTTTATACAGGTGCAGTGGCTTATGCCTGTAATCCAAGTTCTACTTGGCAGGCTTTGATGGAAAGGATTGTGGTTTGACAATGGCCCTATAAAAAATTAGGGAGAAGCCAGGCACTGATGGCCCATGCCTGTCATCCTAGCTACTCAGGAGGCTGAGATCTGAGGATCGCGGTTCAACGCCAGCCCCGGCAGGAAAATCTGTGCCACTCTTGTCTCCAATAAACCACCAGGAAACCAGAAGTGGCGCTGTGGCTCCAGCAGTAGAGTGCTTGCCTTGATCTGAAGTGCTCAGGGACCGCTCCCAGGCCCAGAGTTCAAGCTCCATGACTGACAAAAAAAAAAAAAAAAGTTAGAAAGACTAAATCCTAATTACATATATACTTTTTATAAACATTGTCCGAGAGAATTATAAACATTAACTTATTTTCTTGTGCTAGTACGAGGGCGTATACTCATATCCTTGCACTTTATCAATTGAGCCACACTACTGTCAGTATTGGCAATTTGTAGGGCCAGATGAATGGTCCAAATTAAAAAAAAAATTGTATGGGGCTAGGAAGGTGGCTCAGTGGTAGAGCACTTGCCTTGCATGCATGAGGCCCTGGGTTCTATTCCTCAGCACCACATAAGCAAAAGAAAAAAGCCAGAAGTGGCGCTCTGGCTCAAGTGGTAGAGCACTAGGCTTGAGCTGAAGAACTGAGGGACAGTGCCCAGGCCCAGAGTTCAGGCCCCACGACCGGACCCAAAAAAAAAATTTTGTATGATTTTATAATCCCTGACTTAAAGTTTCAAATAGAAAAGGCTTTAAAAATTAAGGTTTAGCTGGGCGCCGGTGGCTCACGCCTGTAATCCCAGCTACTCAGGAGGCTGAGATTTGAGGATTTCGGTTCAAAGCCAGCCCCGGCAGAAAAGTCTGTGCCACTCTTATCTCCAATAAACCACCAGGAAACCGGAAGTGGTGCTGTGGCTCAAGTGGTAGAGCACTTACCTTGAGCCGAAGGGCGCAGGGACAGCGCCTAAGCTCAGAGTTCAAGACCCACGACCAACCAAAAAATAATAATAAGGTTTATCCCAAGTAACTCGTTTGTTAAAAGCTGACCTTCTGACCTTCATTGTCATGTGTGCATGTGTATATTCACATTAATACTATCTATTGTGTGTGTTGTCTCACATTCAACTGGAGCATTGTGTAGTAAATGCACCATCCTTCTTTTAAAAATGAATCTTTTATCTTACTCCTTGTTCATAATACTTGCATTTTAGGCACTAAGTCTCTGTATAGATCTTGCCAGATCTTGTATTTATGTAGGTCAAGATAGTCTGTGTTGTATTTATTCATTTTTTTCACTTTTACTTTGTTTGATTTCTCTTTTATTTTGAAGATAATCTTAACATGTTATTTTCCTCCATGTTCCAAACATGTACATGATTCTTTTATACTTTGAAACTGGCCATAGTTGTCATTTTCTCTGGAGATCAGACTGTTATTTCCTTTTTTTTTGTTTTTGTTTTTTGCTGTTCCTGGGGCTTGAACGCCAGCTCTGGGCACTGTCCCTGAGCTTCTTTTGTTCAAAGCTAGCATTCTCCCACTTGAGCCACAGCTCTAATTCCAACTTTTTGGATAATTTATTGGAGATAAAGAGTTTCATAGTCTTTCCTGCCCATGCTAGCTTTGAATCCTGATCCTCCAATTTCAGCCTCCTGAGTAGCTAGGATTACAGCTGTGAGCCACTGGAGTCTAGCTAGATTTCTTCCCCTTCCACTTCTACTTCCCTTTCCCCTTCCACTTTCACCACCTCCCTCTCTTTGAACCTATCCTCTCACTTTCCCTCCCCTCTTTTTCTTTTCTTTTCTTTTTTTTTTTTAAGAATGATTTACAGTTACCAAAAATGAGATAAATGAGCAGACCTACCTTTACCTTCCTTACTCTGTTGTTCTCCCCGCTGCTTTTTACTTCTTTCTCTACTGGCTAAATTATACATTTCATTGCTGAGCTTGTTCAACTGTGAATTGTGAGTGTTACTGAAAATGCTCAGTCAAGAGACAACTAATAGGGGATTGTTGAATTCGTTTTGATCTTTGAATTAATTGTTCCTATGGGGTATCGAATTAGGAATCTTAACACCAAGATAATTTAAGAATTAAAGTTCTCAAAAAAAAAAGAATTAAAGTTCTCTGTGGCAGTTGCTAAACAGTATTTGCAAACTGATTTCACATGTAAATATCAGTTGCCTTCCATTAAATTGTACACATCAACTTCAGTACTTTGCAAATTGTATTGTACTACAGTTGCCTCCTATTAAAATTACATGTGAACTTCTCACAAGTGAGATATGGAATCTTAATTGGTGCATTTCAGCAGTTAGATTCTCATTATTACAGAGAAAAATGATATATACAATATAGCTCATTATTCTCTGTTACATTTTTGGTATGAGATACTACCTAAAGATTAAAAATCATTTATGAGCTGGGTGCTCATGCCTATAATCCTAGCTTTGCTAGAGGCTGAGATTTGAAGATCAGATTTCAAAACCAGCTTGGGCAGAAAGATCTGTGAGACTTTTATCTCCAGTTAATCACCAGAAACCTAGAAGTGGACCTGTGGTTCAAAGTGGTAGAACAGTAACACTGAGCAAAAATGCTCAGGGATAATGCCCCACAACAGACCATATCATGTATGATGATTTGCTTATTTTTTAGTAAGCTCTCATTATTTAAAGTTAATATTTAGAGCTGAGCATTGGTAGCTACTCAGGAGGCTGAGATCTGAGGATCGTGGTTCAAAGCCAGCCTTGGCAATAGAAAACTTTCTGAGATGCTTAATGTCCAATTAAACAGCAAAAAGCCAGAAGTGGTGCTGTAGCTCCAGGGGTAAGAACACCAGTCTTGAGTGAAAGCCAAACAAGAGTGTGAAACTCTTGAGTTCAAGCCCCAGTACCAGCACAAGCACACAAAAATGAATTTTTTATTTGGAAATACATTTTTGAAGTTAGTTTCCTTGTAACCATTTCCTGTTAGACCATAGAGATGATTGAGAAAGAACAGAGAGAAGTGGAAAGACGGCCAATCACAAAGATCACTCATAAGGGTGAGATAGAGATTGAGAGTGACGCTCCGGTGAAAGAACAAGAAGCAGCCATGGAGATTCAGGTGAGGCAATAGATAATACCTTTTTTTTGGGGGGGGGGGTCCGGATGTGGGCCTGACCTCTGGGCCTGGGCGCTGTCCCTCAGCTCTTCAGCTCAAGGCTAGTGCTCTACCACCTGAGCCACAGCGCCACTTACAGCTTTTTTCTTTTTGCTTATGTGGTGCTGAGGAATCGAACCCAGGGCCTCAGGCATGCAAGGCAAGTGCTCTACCACTGAGCCACCTTCCCATCCTGATAATATCATATTTTTACAACTGAAAACATGAGGATTCAGAAAAGAGTAATCTAATGCTCTTAAAGTAAAAAAATAAATATTCTTATACAACCTACTTTATTGTCTCAATGACTTTTATTTTTTTGAGACTTATTCTTTCTCTTTAGAGATTATGTGAATTATCTGCATTATAGGCATCTGTTAAACTTGTTATAATGTAGGCATAGAAATCTGTAGTTGCATTTAGGAGAATAATTTGAGAGCTAGTTGTACCTTTCTTATTTTCAAATATCAAAAAAAATAATTTAAAATTTTTGAAATCTTTGAAGAGGAAATTTTAAGAAGGAATCGCTTTTTTTAAAAAATAAGAACTATGTTACACTTTTAAAATGTGTTAGTGTATAACTGTCTTGATTAGCCCAAAGAGCTTACCATCTAAACCTAAACCTAATTTTTACTTTTTTATATTAGGAACCCTCAGGTAGTAAGTCATTGGAGAAACCAGAAGGATCTGAGAAACAGAAGGAAGAGACTGACTCCATGTCTAAAGATACTACTAGTCAACACAGACAACATCTTTTTGACCTTAACTGCAAAATTTGCATAGGTTGGAAATTTTGCTTCCTATTCATTGTTAAAAGGGAATGCTTCTATACTGTTTTCTCAGTTTTGGTGATGTGGTATACAAATTTCTTTGAGCCAAAGCAGATTTCTGTATGACTTTTTTTTCGGGGTTGAAGTATAATAGTTTTGACTATTATATTTTTTGTCATATTCTCTACAGTTGGTTGTATTATAGTTCATAACAAAATGAATCTGAAATTACTTTTTAAGATTTTATTTTTAGAGTTATGTTCAAATCAGAACTAAGGGAAAGGTACAAAGGAAATTTCCTGTGTACTTTCTATGTAGATATTCATTGTCTCTTTCCTTTTCAGTATCCTTCACCAGAGTGGTATAGTTGCTACAGTTAATTAGAATACATTGACACATCTCACTCATCCAAAGTACATGGTTTACTTTAAGATTCTCTTTTGATGTCATATAAACTGGGTTTTAGAAAATATAAAATGATATGTCTATCATTAATACTGTCCCACAGAGCATATATTAACTGCTCTAAAAATCCTCTGCTCGCCCACTCATCCCTCTGTCTACCACTCTCATCAGATCCTAGCAGTCTCTGGCCTTTACTGCCTCCAAGATTTTGCCTTTTTCATTATATGTAAATGTAGCACTTTCTGACTGGTTTCTTTTACTAATAAGTAACACAAGTTTAAGGTTCCTTATGGGGTTTTTTGTTGTTGTTGTTTGGTTGGTTATTTTGTGAATAACTGGCCTGGTTGCTGTCCCTGAACTTCTTTTGTTCAAGCCCCATGACCGGAAAAGAAAAAAAAAATACTGAGGTTTACAACTACTGAATTGTATGAGATATATTTAATTTTGTAAGAAATCGTGAAACTGAAGCCAGTATTGTGACTTGAACTCAGGGCCTTGTACTTGCTTGGCTTGTTTGTTTGGCTAGTGGTGTATGTACCATAGCCTAGCTTCTTGCTGGTAATTTTGGTGGAGTTTTCCTCACTTTTCTGTCCAGGCTTAAGTTCAAAGCATGATCCTTTGGATGTCAGCTGTGTGTCTGTGTCTGTGTCTGTCTGTCTGTCTGTCTGTCTGTTGTGGGGTCTGTCTGTCTGTCTGTCTGTCTGTTGTGGGGCCTGAACTTTGGGCCTAGGTGCTGTCCCTTTGCTCTTCAGCTCAAGGCTAGTGCTCTACCACTTGAGCCACAGCGCCACCTCCAGCTTTTTCTGCTTCTGTGGTGCTGAGAAATCGAACCCAGGGCCTCATGCATGCGAGGCAAACACTCTACCACAGAGTCGCCTTCCTAGCCCCAGATGTCAGCCTCTTGAGTAGCTGGGGCCCAGCTTCACACTTCTTCCTTTTTAACTGTTCAGTTTTAAGAGTTCTTTAAGAGTTACACAAGTTCTTAGAGTTCAGTAAATTAGATAAGAGTTACTATATATGTAATACAAGTTCTTTATTAGATAGATATTCAGCAAATATTTTCTCCTAGTCTGTGGGTTAAATCAGAATAACCAGCTCATCACTTCTTTCTAGAGCCTTGCCCTTGATGTTTCCCCAAAAAGTCATTGCTATCCGCAGGGTCACCTAGGTCCTCTCCTATGTTGTCTTCTATGTGTTTTATATGTATGTATTTTAGTAATTTGTGTATTGGTTAGAAAGTCTGTGTCTATTTCCCATGTGCATTTTGAGTTGTTTCTGTACCGTTTGTTGTAAAAGGTGTATTTGTTCTAGTGTATTGTTGTTATGATCACTTGACTATTTGTGTGAGTCTATTTTTAGACTCTCTGTTTTGTTAATCTGTTTCTCTATTCTGCCAATAGGAAGGTGTTTTGATTACTTCAGCTCTGTTGTAAATCTTGAAGCATAATCTCAGTATTCTGACTTCGATCTTCTGTATTCTATTTGTTAGTCTTGAACTTTCACTCAGAAATGACCTTTTCTCTTATATTTTCCTTGATTATTTATTCAGTAAATATTTATTGAACTCTTTTTGTCAGGTACTTGGCTGGTTGTAGGGAATATAGTGGTAAAATGTCTGATATTGTCCAGACTGTAGGAGAAACTATAATTTAGTGGTGAATGCAGACAAATGATTATTAAAGTTATAGAAATACAGTTTTTATAAGTGTAGATGGCAAGAAGATATAGCCTACACTGGGATGTCTGGCTGAAGAATTATGTAATCAAGATATGAAATTCAAGACTGGTTCCCACAAAGAGTACAAGAACATCTTGGAATTTAAATTCAAGAAGAGAAGGGTATACAATGTTGTTGAACAGATATTTGGAATGTCTGTTTACAAGATACATTTTTAGATTTTTAGTATATATTTTTATTGTAAAAATACTGTACAGAGGGGTTACATTTTGATTTACATTTTATAGCCATTGATTTTGAGTCTTGAAGTTATGATTCTGTACTACCATTGAAATTAGTTTAATAAGTAGTGAACAGCATTTTAAAACAAAATCATAATAGAAAATGTCACTAAATTTCATAATTGAAAGTGATGATTAGCCATGCACTGGTGGCTTATACCTATAGTCCTAGCTACTCAGGAGGCTGAGGTCTGAGGATTGTGGTTCAAAGCCAGCCGGGGCAGGAAAGTCATGAGATTCTTATCTTCAATTAACCACCAGAAAACAGAAGTGGCGCTGTAGCTCAAAGTGGTAGAGCACTAGCCTTGAGCTGAAGAGCTGAGGGACAGCGCCCAGGCCCAGAGTTCAAGCCCCAGAGCCCACCAAAACAAAAAAAGAAAGTGATGATTTTTATGAAACTTTATTTCTACTTTGTATACACAGACAAGCACATAAATTTAACAGTGGCACATAAGAATATTTCTATTTTAAATTATAATTGTATTGTTAGGTTGTTTCATAAGTTGGGTAATGAGTACATTTCTTCTTTTGGACAATGTCACCCCTTCACTTTCCAGTCCCATCCCTGCCAATAAGTTGCGTAGGTTACGTAGTGTATACTAAATAATATGGTTGTTTTGTTCACCCTTCCTCCCTCCCTTTCTGGCCCCTCATTCCCCACCTCCCACAAAAAGGAAAAAAAGCCCAAAGCAAAAATAAAATGAACAGCCATCAATAACAACCCATGTTTCCATTTTCTAGAATTCAGTTTTATAAATACTCCTTTAAATCTTCAGAGAAGTTACACCTTTGTGTTTCACATTGCTTTTGGTCTGTGTGTGAATGCTAGTAAGTTATTATGTGCATTTAAATTTTAGATCTAGCTTCCACATATGAGAGAAAACATGTGCTGTTTGTCTTTCTGAGTTTGGGTTACCTCTCTTTGCATGATTTAGTCTAGGTCCAATCATTTCCCTATAGAAGATATAACCTTATTCTTTCTAGTGGACGAGAAAATTCCATTGTGTATGTGTGTGTGTATGTATATATATGTGTGTGTGTGTGTATACACACACACACACATATATATACATACACACACACACACACCACATTTTAATGACCCACTAATCTGTTGTAGTATATCTGGGCTGTTTCCATAACTTGGCTATTGTGAATAGTGCAGCAGTGAAAACGAACAAGTGTCCTTCACTATATCCTGACTTTTAATGATGTGGGTAGATGGCCAAGCATTCAGAGTGAAGTTCTATGTTTAATGTAGTTTTTTTTTGTTTTGTTTTTCAGGTGTGTGTGTGGGGGGGGGGTATCGGTTTCAGGACTAGAACTCAGGGTCTGGTTGCTATGCCTGAATTTGTTCAAGGCTAGTGCTCTACCACTGTGAGCCACAGCTCTCCTGGTTTTGGGGTGGTTATGTGGAGATATTAATCTCACAGGTTTTCCTGCCTGGGATGGCTTTGGACCACAATCCTTAGATCTCAGCTTCTTGAATAGGTAGGATTACAGTTTTGAGCCACCAGTGCCCCAGCTATGTTTAGTTTTTTGAAGAACCTCCAAACCACCTTCCAGAGTGGTTGCACTAGTTTACATTGCAACCAACCATGCAATAGGGTTCCTTTTCTCCCATATCTTCACCTGCGTTTATTTAGAACATTTCTTAAATACTACCAGGTGAGCTATTTTCATAGCAGTAAGAGAGGAATTACATCATGAAACTGCTGATATACTTTACATGAAATCATATGTTTTACATGAAATCATTCATATATTTTACTCATGTGTTACATTTAGGAGGTAATATGAATATAATGTTTAAAGGAATAATACAGTACAGATAGAACTCTGCACAGTGTGCTGTACCTTGCATTTCAGATCAGTTCAGTTCTCTATACATGTGAGAGGATTGGCAGTGGGAAGAACACTTAAGTATAGGTGTAATAAGACTCATTATGAGAATGGAAGGGTGGAGTATGAATCACAGAAATGCAACAACAACTTTAGAAAGTAAAAGGGGATTAAGTTATGGTTTATGTTGGTGTCTTCTGGCTTTAGGTCGAATGGCACCGCCAGTAGATGATCTTTCTCCAAAAAAAGTGAAAATTGTTATTGGAGTTGCTCGTAAACACTCAGACAATGAAGCTGAAAGTATAGCAGACGCATTATCTTCAACTTCAAATATTTTGGCTTCTGAGTTCTTTGAAGAGGAGAAACAAGATTCTCCAAAAGCAACATTTTCTCCTGCTCCACGGTACAGTACTTGCAGTCATCATAAATTTCTGCTAAATTTTGAGAGTCTTCCAAAACAGAAAAGTGATGTATTTCTTAGGAATTTTGAGAAACTCTGTCTTCACACATTCTAATTGAGATTAAAAATAAGACTATGATATTTAATTTTTTTCTTAGATACAGATATGACTTAAAACAGTTAAGTTAGGCAGTAACCTGTGGCTCACGCCTGTAATACTAGCTACTCAGGAGGCTGAGATCTGAGGATCAAGGTTCAAAACCAGCCCAGCCAGGAAAGTCTATGAGACTCTTTTTATCTCCAATTAAACACCAGAAAACTGAAGTGGTGCTGTGGCTCAAGTGGTAGAGGGCTCGCCTTGAGCTGAAGAGCTGAGGGACAGCATCCAGGCCCAGAGTTCAAGCTCCACAATCAACAGACAAAGCAAAACAACAAAAATAACACAGTTATACTCCTTCCAGGAGGTTTGGGATAGTTAACTTTTTTAAATTTGCTTGTATGCTGTCCTTGACATTTTAAAATAGAAGTAACTGATGATAAAGTTCAACTTGTCATGGGCCTTTAGGTAATATCTTTTTAATGTCATTTTCTAGTCCAGAGATGCCTGGAACTGTTGAAGTTGAGTCTACCTTCCTGGCTCGCTTGAACTTCATCTGGAAAGGCTTCATCAACATGCCTTCGGTGGCAAAATTTGTTACCAAAGCTTACCCGGTATCTGGTTCCCCTGAATTCCTAACAGAGGTACTGTTGGCTTTCCCGCCCCTTTGACCTTTGACTGGCCCAGGTGTTCCAGAAAGCAGTAGACACACACACACACACACACACACACGGTGAACAGCTAGTAATAAAGTATTTGCTAATAACATTCTTTTAGCAGCTCAGTCAATGAAAGTAGACACTCACAAATGTATTTGAGGGTTGTAGGGAACTATCATCTGAAAGCTTGAGATAGGGTGTCAGAGAGACAAAAATCAGAGTGTGTCTATGTGGGTATCTGAACTTGGTTTTAAATATAGAGCTAGACATACTCGAGCCAGATGTTGAAACCCCATGTCTGCAATCTGTGTTACTCAGAAGGCTGGGTTATTAGGATCCAGGCTCAAAGACAGCTGGGCAGACAAAGTCAAGAGATTGATCTCTAATAACTAGCAAAAAGCTGAAACTTGAGACAGCACTCAAGTGGCAGAGGGAAAAGCTGAGTGAGACCTGAGCTCAGTACCACTCCCCGTCAAAAAAGATTGCTGGACATCCTTACAGCATTCAGTGCTAGCCCATGTGAATATTTTCCATTGTTAGACTAGTCTTCTAATTCTCTCACTGCTTATGGTTTATGACTGTAATTCTTACCTATTTCTGAAAATAAGATGTCTACATGGAGCTTGAGCTTTATAGGTAGTTGAGAATCTCATGATATTGTTATAGTGCTACCCTTGCTGGTTTTATTTCCTTTTTTTTTTTTTGTTAATGCTGGGGCCGGGGCCGGGGCCGGGGCCGGGGCCGGGGCCGGG